TTTGGCGTAAACAGAATGAGAACATGGATCCATCATGCCTTGTTACCACTGTGCAGGCTGGTGGTGGTGGTGTAATGGTGTGGGGGATGTTTTCTTGGCACACTTTAGGCCCCTTAGTGCCAATTGGGCATCGTTTAAATGCCACGGCCTACCTGAGCATTGTTTCTGACCATGTCCATCCCTTTATGACCACCATGTACCCATCCTCTGATGGCTACTTCCAGCAGGATAATGCACCATGTCACAAAGCTCGAATCATTTCAAATTGGTTTCTTGAACATGACAATGAGTTCACTGTACTAAAATGGCCCCCACAGTCACCAGATCTCAACCCAATAGAGCATCTTTGGGATGTGGTGGAACGGGAGCTTCGTGCCCTGGATGTGCATCCCACAAATCTCCATCAACTGCAAGATGCTATCCTATCAATATGGGCCAACATTTCTAAAGAATGCTTTCAGCACCTTGTTAAATCAATGCCACGTAGAATTAAGGCAGTTCTGAAGGTGAAAGGGGGTCAAACACCGTATTAGAATGGTGTTCCTAATAATCCTTTAGGTGAGTGTATGTACCACTACAGTAATCTTTAGGGAAAAAATGTGATGGTTTGATTCGACTTTCCACTTCTTTTGACCCATCTATTAACCAAAGGAATATCATAAAAATTTACCTTACAGGAACAAGGAAGTTACAATGTCTCAGATTAACATTATGGATTCTGGTGCATGAAAAATTATATTAACTGCTCATGGACCTGTTTCAAATTCAGAGTGACTGTGTTTTTTCTGTGTTCATCCCTGGGTTGTGATTAAATACTTTTAATTCTCCACATTGTCAAGTTTTCTGCTTGGAATGATTTAACGTTATTTATTTGCCATTGTTTTGTTTGTCAGAAATGCATTTCCCTATTTTACTCTTGCACCAATGAAATGCCTTTCACATAGTCAGAGGGACAATAATAGCTTCTTGGTTGATCCCCATGAAGACGGGTAAGTCCGCAGGACATTTGAGACTAGGCAGATATTGACTCTCCCAAGCATCACTGGAATTTGATCCCAAGGACAAGCCTTATAGAAGAGGCTCTTGTGTTGTCTTTGACTTGCACAAATGATGCAGGGTCATCACCTCCCCAATTTGACGATTCTATATTTTCTCCTTGGCATAAACTTTAACCCTTTAAATTCCAAATGGCTACTTTACGTGTATGAAACTAATTTGTGTACAGGTCAGATGGGTGTGGGATTTTTCAATCCAGTGCAGGGTCAGGATATTGCCAGGTTTTTAAGTGAGCATGCTGCACTGGAATTCTATTTTTCCTCACTGTCGTAATTCCATAGCATAAGATTCTTCATCCACCATGATCCATCCATCCATCTTTTGACGACTTGTTTGGGTTTGAGTGATGGGAGACCTGGATCTTACATATACCTTGGACAGGATGCCAGTTCATTTGATGTTTTATTATTACTCACATCTGATATGAAAGATTATATATAATTGGTTTTTAAATACTAATGCTAGTTATTTCCCTTTCAATATCTTCAATGAATTTACCATTGCTCTCCAAGGTGAACCCCTGTATAAATATTCTGTTCTATGGGGGAGGAGTTCGCAGATATTTTCTACACAGTCCTTTTTGAAGGTTTAAGCGGTTGTGGACAAGGGGATTTGACGAAAGAGGTGGGGAGTTGTGGGTTCTGTGGAATTGCTTTGCAGAAAAAAAACACATCCCCATTTCAGTGCACTTGGTTTCATACCAGTTTTCATAGAATATGCTACATAAATGATGAAGAAGTACTTTGCATTTACACATTTACAGGCCATATGGAGGTAGCATGAGTAACATTTTCATAACCCCTGATCTACAGTAATCATATTTCTAAAAAGAGGTGTAAATGAGGTCGTATTATTCATATGTAGGTAGTGAACTTCCTGGTGCACAAGATTTAAATTCCTATTAATATGAGATCCTTATGTAAGTAGGGTGTAAGATCATTATTGATGCAAAGTTGGGAAATAGTTTTACAATATTGCATATTAAAAATTAAATATCTACAAATAAAATTAAACGAATAGCTTTCGAAAAGCATGAGACTTCTGCTTTTTCCCATGGGAACCCATGGTAACATGATCGCTGTTTATAATGAGAGCTGAGTCAGATCTTTTCATAGCTACAGCATGCATCTCCTTCTGCAGTGCTCTTGGGGCCAACATCAAAACACACTCGCATTATATGCAGCATTTATTTAATTGCTGCTTCTGTGTTGCTTGCTAACTGTTACATTAGTTAAACAATCTGTTATTCAGTTCATGGGTTTCATAGTATATATCACACCCATGAAAATCATAAATGGACTAGCAGCAGAATATCAGACTGCTTAACTTGCCTTAATTCTATAATTAGATTTTATTTTGTGATAAACTGAAATATGCAAAAATACGTAATGTTACTGAAGGTGATCTTTCTCGTGGAAAGAGTTGTTCTTTACATTCGTGAAATGTTTTTGCCTTACATCTGGTTTTGACTGAAAGCATTCGGAAAGTCTGTCTTGAGTGGCAGCAGGTGTGTGTGTGTGTGTTTGTGTTTGCACGTCACTGGCTTTGATCCCGAGTCCCATCTCTGACTGACACATCATGAGTCATCAGCTCATGTGACATCTGTAGTTGCTCTCAGCAGTACGGGGGATGTTTTTGGATGTGCAGCAGATGTCAGGTGACCCGGCAGTGGATTGTACCAGGTCTGGAGCTCTCAGGCACCCATATGCAGGCTTCACAAACAAAAAATGCTACACAGGGGGAAACTATTCATACTTTTAGCCGGCAGGCTGGAGGAACAGACAAATTATGCAAAGGTGAGTGTTGTAACAGAGTCCTTTGCAGCCCCGTAAGGCAGAGTGATTATGATATAATGGCTATGGTGTTAGGAGTTGATATGATAATCTGATATGATAAAGTACTGTATAAAGCAACCGTTGTGGTTCTGTATTTTTTGCTAATGCAGTGTACAAGTTATACAACTGTGGGTGAAGTTAATTGTGGATTCATAAGGATACAGTACAGTGTGACATTATCTTTGAAAAAAAAACCCAATACACTTCAAGGTGGTTTATATATCTGGCAATTATAGATCAAAAGTGCCTTACTTATTTGTACATTTTTTCTAGCTGCCTGATTTATTGCTGTGGGTTACCTGAACAGCACCACAGCAGATATGACCCAGCACGCGTTCAGTGCCAAAGAGCCCCAGATGTAAATAAGCATGCAACTTGCTGGCCTGTCATTTCATGTAACTGCCTGAAACCGGCAAAGAAAACTGTAAGGGGGAAAGAGAGTAGCTATGGGAGGTGATGCGAATAGAACCATCTGCCAAGTAAATAAGAGATTTGTGTAATTCCTGAGTAATGTTACAAAGTGCATTGTGGTGATATTTCAAGATGTCCTATCCAAATCAGAAGCTTGGCAGTTACGTATTTTCAGATCTAATTCTGTGACTGACTTTGCCATCTTTTGTGCCAAGCAAGGCAAAATAAGGCCTATTCTCATAAAGTCTTTTCTGTGCACAGGCAGTTTATGTAAGTTTATGAATGATTGAGAGAGATTGATGCCTGTTCAGAGGAACAGGAGAATTCTCAGCCTGTCCAGCTCCTGCCCTTGTTTAATTAATGAGAGGGATTGTGTCGTCACGGCGACAGAGAGAAGGGTCTGAAGTAGGGCCGGGCAGTTAGTCAAGTTTTAATTTCAATTATGGATTTTGGATTCCAGCGATTCTCAAAACAAAATAACCAAGACAATCATTGTTGTGCTGCATTTCATTTCGCAGTTATGCTCCCTTTTTGTCTTGTGTTATAAATTTAACACCCTCTTTCCAACCCTTTTTATTTGTTTCTTTGTTGACTTACAGTATATTCAAGTTCAAGCAAATCCACTGCTAAAAAGCAAGTTTTTCTAAAAGTTCAGTAAACACATGATATTTCCATAGTCAATGAGTAATTTTGTTAAATAACTGTGATCTTACTATTAACCAAAAATAATCGTGATTATGATTAATAATCGAACAGCCCTAGTCTCACAGCTCACTGCATGTGTGGGGACACTGAAAAGAAGCTGAACTGCTGATTCTGATTAGCAAGGGAAAACAGTCAAAGTATTGTGACTTTGGGCACAAGGGCAGGTGGAGAGAATTATCTCTGATGATCGCAGTTCCTGGTGTCTGCCTCCTAGGATGGATGGCAGACATGGCTCCCTCTCTGCACATCCAGCAGTTATAAATCGAGAAATAGCACTGAGCTCAGTCTCAATATTCAGCAAAACCTAAAAATGCATTCTTCTATTGCAGTCGGGGGACAATAACGGGTTGATGGAAAATGACCCTTATCTGGTTATATGTTAAGCATCTTGGGACAGCCATGTTGGGCGTTATATAAAAATGAATTGACTTGAGGGGGCCTGGGATAAATTGGCATTCCATCCAGGTCATGGCCTGGTCTTGTGCCCTGTTCTGCCCACAACTCTCACCAGGATAAGTGGTTGCAAGACGGGTGGATGAAATGAATCAAAAACTGAAAATAAGTGTAAATGTTATGGAAGGAATTTCACTGACCCTAAAATGAGGCTTTGATTTTACCCTGATGATAAAGACATCAAATTCTCTAGCAGACATCTTGTCTCGTTTTCTTCTCTTGGTACGTAACACACCTCCGTCCCACACACACGCAACTCACCACACCATTCTGTACAACCAAACTCTAGATACAGTTATAACAGGCAATGAAATTCTTCATTAGTGCCTTGAGAAATTGCATAATTTGTTATAACCGGAGTGAACTAGGTGAGTCTTTGTGTTGTATGTCATTGAATTATGTCCATGGTAAAATGACTTACAAAGGAGGAACATTTAAGTATTTCAAGTAGTGAGCTACGTTACATACTTTTGCAAATTGTATGAGAATATATATGAAAAGTAAATTTTAGTAAAACCTTTTTTTTCTGATTTACAACAGCCTTTAGGTTCAGAAACACAACTGAAATGACCCATTTTGCCATCTGAGGTAAGATTAATATATTGTTTTAAAGCAAATTTTAATACTGGTTTGTTTAAATGCTTAATTCTAAAAATATACTGTAAATGGATAGCCGTCATTAAAACTGTATATTTTCTTGATATTGGAAAATCGACTTTCATGTAGATTGCTTCTGTGGGAAATAAAAATATAGTAATTAAATGAAATCTCAATTCTTCTTACAACTGAAAATGACATGCAGTTAGGACTGTGTCCGGCTGAATTAGTACATCTACAACATATCATGTAGTATTTAGTGAATTATTCTGATGGTTTTGTGACTAATAAAAATAAAAAAATTCTATTGTGTTTTCTACTCCGGATCATCCAGTGTGCCAAATCAAAATGTAAAATCTACCACTCAGCACTGCGAAGGGATTAGGCTCGCAGAACTATATGCCCGATTTTCCAGCTCTTCATTTGAAATCAGTAGATGTGTATGATTTCAGATGTTTCTTTGTTCAATCTATCACTCCCCCCATCTGTAGGGGTCACTGCTGAGCCGCCTCATTCTCCAGACTGCAAGATGCTTGTCTGCTTGACAGCGATTGAGTCACAGAGTGTGAAACAGCATATTTTAACACACATTTGTTAATATATTTTATAAACATGCCTCTTTTTTTTTAAGCAGAACCATTTGGCTGAAATCATTTAGGGGAACAGCGCTTTTTTGTCATCTAAAATGATGCAAAAGGTATGGGAGTCTTTAAATTTGTTCTTAATTGCTTGTTTTTCTTTTTGGTTTGCGTTGCCATTTTCTGTAGTGTTCAAAGAGGTTAGTCACAAACATTCTTAAATGGCAAACATTTATATTTGTCTTCAAATATATCTTTGAGTTTGGGAAAACATTAGTTTAATGTGGGCCTATTAAGCTAGTCTGCTACTTGGTTAGACCTTGATTGTTTGTTCGTTTAGCTTAGCAACGTGTCTTTCATTTTTAATAGCCTGACTGTTAGCTCCAGGGCCTATTTACTGTTAGAAATAGCACAGTCACCATTTTGCAATAGAAAAGTATATTGGTTTGGCGAGTATTGAGAGTTTTGAGATGGGATATGAGCTCAGTATTTACTTCTGGGAAGAATTTTTATATTTATGCTTTATTTTCACCAGGAGCGTGATGTTCTGTGACATGTCCGTCCCACTCGTGTTCATTCTTTGACTTGCCTTGAATTTTGCTGAAGTTAGTTTTACTTTCTGTCTTTCCCAGCGGCAAACCTGGACTTCCCCCGGCAGTGTGAGCTCCTCGCGGGGTACCATTGTCCCTGGATCCCCAGCAGTCACCATTGTGGTAAGACGCCCCCCCAAGGACTAGGACTGATTGTCACACAAACCATTGGTGCACTACTGGAGACCTTCAAGCCAGATACTCTAATGATGCTTGGCTATGAACATAGTAGCAATACTGCAATCTGCATAGTTGACAGGATGGATGAGAATATGCAGATCTTGCAAACTCAAAATGTTATGTATTCTAGTTTATTTCTGTCTTGCATCTTCCATGGATTATATCATTACAGCAGTATATTCAGGGGGAATTTTGTCTGTTGTGCATGCCTGAAGCGTACAGTAAGCATTATGCAATCATTGTCTTTCTGTTATCCTATTTCCAGGCAAAAATTGACAATCAGGTCATCGGATATAAAGATTTGGCAGCCATACCGAAAGACAAAGCTATACTCGAAATTGAACGGCCAGACTTAATGATCTACCAACCCCACTTCAGCTACGTGTCTCTGGACAAATCAGATGAATTGCCTAGCAGTAGAGAGGTCAGTAGGTTTTGCAGAAATATGTGGTTATGATAGATAGATATCTGCTTCTTTGTATTTAAGGAATTTAAATCTCTTGTTTAACTTGACTGCATTTATACTATAAGTAAATGAACCTACAAAAAAATCGCATTACATGGATAGCAGGAAAGAATACAACATTTGAAATGGGAATCAATAATTGCTGAGAGTGTTTTCAGAATCTCACAAAAATATATATAATCTGTTAATAGCGTTAAAATGGTCAAAATAAAAAATGTTTTGATTGAAATAAGATTATCAGAGAAATAAGAAAAATGATTGTTCATAATGAAAATGCAGTGAGGAGGAAATATTTCAGCAGTTATTTTAAGGGAAAGACCCACCTCCAACTGCAGTGCTGCCATCTGTAAGGCTTTTCTGTGCCATGGAACTGTAAAGACAGACATCTTTTTCACTGCAGTCGAATTTCGGGGTTGATGATATTTAGTCCTGTGCTTGAATTATTATTTTTTTAGTGCCCTTGTCATTTTACTGTCACTCCTGAAAGCTGCCGCTGTTTCATATTTGTCTGATCTGTCATAACGCACTCAGATGGGTGTCATGCCTGGGCCAGGTGCAGGGCAGGTGTCTATTCCAAGTCGACCAGGATTGCTCTCTGAAGCATGCATTCTGAGACTGAGCCCCCTACAGACCTGTAGGCACGGAGATCGCTCATTGCAGTTTATGGCAGTGTTTATATTAAAGGGTTTATATTGGAAATGGTACAGGCCTATGTAGTTTGCATGCTGTAGATGTTGTGTGGTGTTTTGTTTGGAAAAAGCCCAATTAGCATAATTTGAAGATTAATCTGTCTAAACATTTCTTTATCTCTTCTACCTTCCTCTGCTTCTCCTTTTGTTTCTTGACCTTTTGTCTTCTAGAGATCCATGTCACCCCGCTCGATCTCGCCCCCACCCTCTCCTGAGGTGAGACAAATGGCCCCAGTGCCCCAAGAGGAGTGATTATGGATATTAATGCACAGGATGTCCGAGCGAGACAGACTTTGTTGCCCCCTCACTCTTTGAGCATGGCAAGAGGAGTGCCTTTCCATCTTGTGTCACCCTTTAAGCTCTACCTGTGTGTTAATGAGTCAGTATCAGAATAGAGAAGGCGTGAGCTTCATTGATTGTTTATGAATGTAAGAGTAAGAGTGCATGATTTAGTCACTGAGTAGCATTGTGGCTTGATACCTTCAAGGTTGGAGGTTTCAATCCTACTTACACCCTGTATGTGGACTTTACGTGTTCTCTCTATGTTTTATGGGTTCCCTCTCAGTTCCGCAAAGAAATGCAAGTTACCTTATTTAGGATCTCTAAATTTCCTACGTTGTTTGTTTGTGTGAGTGTGCATGTACCCATAGATGTACTGGGTGTAATCCAGCCTTGTGCCCTGTGCAGAGTGGTATAGACTTCATACCACAGTGAACCAGACCAGCTTAGGTAGCTGGAAACTGGACAGACGGAATAGGTGATTGAATCGGAGTGTGGTATTTTTGGGCATACGTTGTTTCATCAGAGGGGTGTATTTGAAACAGTGAATGAACAAAATACTGGACCTATGTTACCACTCAAAGGTGGAAATGCCTTATATTGAGACTAAAGGTTTCCCTAACCAAAAAGTGTAGTATGTAGTTAGGTTAAAACTGATGTTTATACAGTTGGCTGTCACACTCTGGGGTGTATGTTCCCCCAAATATTTAATTTGGCTTCATTAATCCCCCCAATAAAGAGACCTTTGCATTGAATTGTTGTGTCCCCCGGTATCAAACTCTCTTCTGTGTTATTGGTCACCCTGATATCAGTGTGCCGGCTCACAAGGTAATAAAATGCCCATTTTTAAAATCATAGACAGCAGCCAATGAGGTGCACCTGCTGGTAAAACTTATGAGAGCTTGTAATGGGGCTCCATGAGTCCTACGGCACCGAACGGTGCATGGTGGGCCGAAGGGGGCAGACACATTCTCAGCAGGCTTCGGGGAACAGACTGCCTCTCATGTTCTGTGGCAGAGCTCCACGTGCAAGGAGCCCAGAGAGGGCCTGGAGCCGAAGTCCCCAGCAGGGTCGTCCCCAGCCCCCGTGGTGCCAAACCGCGGAATAAGCAGTACAGTCCGTCCTCTGCAGCACTTCCACAGGCCCCAAAACGGCACCAACATCTACAAGAAGCCACCAATTTACAAACAAGGTTTTGAATTTTTTTCACATTTTAATAGTTGATTAATTCCATCTGATAGCACCTTATATTACTTGCTTGAGTATTAAAATAGTCCTGAGAAGGGCTGGGTTTTATACACTCCTTAAAGTGTGCGGTAGTACCTGCTTTCACGCTTGACTAGATCTTAGTATATTTTTTTTTATGCCCACCTTTGTCTTGGTCTAGATCTGTTGGTGTCGATTCCGCAGAGTAAACACATAGAGGACCTCATCATCGAGTCGTCCAAATTCCCTGCAGCACAGCCTCCTGACCCCAACCAGCCCTCCAAGATTGAGACAGACTACTGGCCCTGCCCGCCCTCCCTGGCTGTTTTGGGTAAGCCTTCACCCTCTGCCCAGGTGTCTGTGGGCACTGTGTAACACCAACAGAGGTGTCTATGGGCACTGTGTAACACTAACACAGGTGTCTATGGGCACTGTGTAACACCAACACAGGTGTCTATGGGCACTGTGTAACACCAACACAGGCGTCTATGGGCACTGTGTAACACCAACACAGGCGTCTATGGGCACTGTGTAACACCAACACAGGCGTCTATGGGCACTGTGTAACACCAACACA